ACACTACTAGGGATGGGCTTTGAGTTTACAGCCTTGCCCCATATCCAGCCCGCACGCCAGTTAGTGTTTGTCATTGAAGACAGGATGGCTCAGCTGCCTGTTCTGGCTGCCGGCTGCCATCCCACCCACAACCATTATGGACTCTCTGTGGAGCCATCGGTCAAAATAAACTCCTCCATGAGTTGCTTTTGGTCATGATATTTTATCACAGCAATTAAAATTAACTAATACAGTGTTAAGGCTGTGTGAAGAGCTACTGAGAAACACTAAATGTTCATTTACAAACCCCTTCCCACTCCACACCATCCTTAGACTATCTTCCATGTCTCCTTGCTCAGGTGATGAGCCCAGGCCACAGTGAACGCCTTTCCTATGGCTGCAAAGTCTGCACCGCACAGCATAGCATAGCATCGCTGCTCCTGCCCGCGCTGCTGCTGCTCCTGCTGCTGCTCCTGCCTGCGCTGCTGCTGCCCGCGCTGCTGCTGCCCGCGCTGCTCCTGCCAGTGCTGCTGCTGCTCCTGCTCCTGCTCCTGCTGCTGCTCCTGCCCGCGCTGCTGCTGCCCGCGCTGCATCTCAGTGACTGAAAGAGCTTTTTACCAAACATCAGCACTGCGCCTGGCATTTTAACAACACAAACCCTTCCCCAGTTACTCTGCTATCATTCACACTTTGAAGACCACCATGGGCTCAGTGGGAGAGCACTTGCCAGTGTATGGGAGGCTCTGGCTTTGATCTCCAGTACTACAAAACAAAATTCAAAATGTTTAAAAGTCATGAAGGTGGCTTGTCCAGATCCCTCCAGAAAGAGGATTTGAGCCCAGGTCCCATCTCTCCCTACCCAGCCAGCACCCTGCATACCCAGGGCCTGACACTCCCCTCCCCTCCCCGTCCTGTCCCCTCTTCCCCACCTGACCACCTTCTCCACCACAGGACAGACGGCCACTGCACCAGGTGTGCCGGCTGAGCCTTCTCCGCAGCACCTACCCCGGGGGACTAATGTGGCCCATTCAGCTGTGGGGTCTGGAGAGGAAGGACCAACAAGCTGAGGGACAGGGGGGGCCAAGTGGCAGGTCTCTGCGGCCAGCCCGTGCTCTCACAGCTTCATCAGCAGAGTGGCTCTGGTCCGTCATCACTTCCGGCAGGTTCAGAGTGAGAGGTGTCATTTGGACAGTGCCAGTGTCAGGGGAGAAAAGGCAAGGGCTCTCCTCCACACAGGTGTGCCGAGTCGGCAGTGCGCTCGTGTGTGTGTGTGTGTGTGTGTGTGTGTGTGTGCGTGTGCACATGTGTGCATGTGCGCGCAAGTGTGTGCATTGTGTGCATGTGTGTTTGTGTGCTTGTGCGTGCGTGTGCATGTATGCGTGTGTGTGCACTGCGTGCATGCATGTGTACATGTGCGTTGTGTGTGCGTGTGTGCATGTGTGCATGTGCCTGTGTGCACGCGCGCGTGTGTGTGTGTGTGTGTGTGTGTGTGTGTGTGTGTGTGTGTGATATCCCCCTCCCTGATCTTTAGACAGGGCGAACCTTTCTACTCTGTGAGGGTTTCTTCCTTCTGCTGAGGGTCGGCATCCCATGGTTCTTTCTTTCCAGGATTAATGGAATGGAATCTGCCCTTCAGAGAGTTAAGGGACTCAAGAACATACCTAATACTTATTACATTCATGTATTTAATGATGGTGTGAGCCTGCTGGAACTGGAATTACAGGGAGTTGTGAACCACTACATGGGTGCATGGAACAGAACCTGGGTCCCTGCATGGGCAGCAAATGCTCTTAGCTACTGAGCCCTCTCTCCAGCCCCCCACCCAAACTGAGCCCATCCACATATCACCCTACTCCAGCCAGCTCCTAACACACCGTGCATGTGGGCACACACAGGCCTTGCAGGGTTGGTGTTTCCTGCTTCCCTTGTGATACACCACACCTGTCATCTGTGAGCAGTGTGAAATTCGCTGGGCTCAGCCTGGTCCTCTGATCCATTTCTCCATCCTTAGGGACACCAGCATATGATCAGGACTCCCTGCCCTTTTTCTAATCCCCTGCCAACGTGTCTACCAAGCCTTGTCCTTGTATAGTTGGAGAGGACAAACCTCCTCACACACACCCCATGCAACCTTACGTTGTGGCAAGAGGACACTCTCCTGGCATCACATGCCATCAAAGTACCAGAGCTGCCACACAGGCACTGCAGTCCCGGCTAGACCGAAATTCTGTGTGCTAGAATTAAAGGTGCCAGCCACCACACTCAGATAAAGGTACCTACACTTTAGCTCCCCCCCCCCCCACCTTAGGCCAACACCATAATAGGTCAGGGCATAGCAAATCCCAGTTTTACCTTGCCAAGTAAAATCCAGTCCTCGGCTGGCCTGCAGTCTTCCACTAGCTCTTACTACAGAATGCACTCAAACCATGAGAAGCATCAAGTCTAGGACACATGATGTCATTGTTCCTGGATGCACTTGACTTCCAAATTTTCCTAGGCAGGGGAGGTGGGGGGGGGGGCGGGTCAAGCGCTGTGCACAGACTGTCACTAGGGGGAGCTCTTCCCCAGTAGACCAGTGTAGATGACAGCTAATCTCTGAGACAGTTGCACCACTTTACCAACTGAGGGAGAAAACCCACATAGATGAAGGGGAAATCAACTGCACACACCCTTAACATCCTTTTCCAGTGCTATGACATGAACAGTACTGGACTTAAATAACGTAACAGCGGCAAGGAAGGTACAGGTCAGGCTCAGGCTGCTGGGAAGCTGCAGAAACGTTACCAAGCCCAAGACTGAGACCAGCAAATCACCTCACTAACCTGGGTCAGCTCAAGGTTTTAGAATCATGGCCTCCTTCCTGTGAAACACGAATGGCAATCTGCAGAAATGGGCCTCCCAGCAAACCTGGATCTGAACATGACCTCGTGATGACTAGCAGTGAGTTACCTATAATTCCCAAGATTATAAAGCTGAAAATAACCTCAGAAGGCAACAAGAACTGGTAACAGCCAAAATGCTCATACACAGGGAAGGCCGTAACTAAAACTGTCTTTAAGACTTAAGTCAGGCATTATCTGTAACCCCAGCACTCAGGAGACTGAGGCAGGAAGACTGATTAGAGTTAGAGGCTACGCTGGTGAGCACTAGTCCAGACAGGTTATACCACAAGACCTTGTCTCAAAACAGTAAAAATTTAAAAATGCAAGGACTTACTGTTAATAATACACCCAACATAGTGTTTGGCAGTGCCTAATTGTTAATAGTACATGGGAGGCCAGAGGACAACATTCTAGAGCTGGTGAGTTCCTTCCTCCACATAAGTCCTAAGGACTGAACACAGGCCATCAGGTTTGGAATCAAGTGTCCTTACTGAGCCATCTCGCCAGCCCTACCAAGCATTCTCTTAAGCTAGGCATGTGACCCGAGCTGGTGGGAGCTCAGACTATGGACTGACCGCTGGAGAACCTGCATGGGACTAGATCCTCTGAATGTGGGTGTTATGTGACTTGACCTGTTTGGGGGGTGGGGAGCAAGGGGCTGGCAGTGGCACCAGGACCTATCCCAGGGGCATGAACTGGCTTTTTGGAGTGCATTCCCTATGGTGGGATACCTTGCTCAGCCTTGATACAAGGGGGAGGGCCTTGGTCCTGCCTCAACTCTGTTTGCCAGACATTGTTGACTCCCCAAGGAAGGCCTTTCCCATCCTGAGGAGTGGACTGGGGAGTGGGGAGGGAGGAATGGGGGTGGGGAAAGGGGGTGGTAGAAGGGATGGGAGGGGGAACTGGGGTTGGTATGTGAAATGAAAACTAAACTAGAATAAGGTAGAAAGACCAATTATTAGATGCTGATTGACTGACTTCTTCAGTGTTGTATGTAAAGCACCGCTTGTCCTGTCTGTTTGCCAAGCATGCCTTCACTTAACTCCCGGGAACGGAGCGACCTGGACTAAGAACGGGAACAATGGGCGGTTGCCCTAACAACCTGACTGCCAGTATGCTTCTGAACTGCTTCTTCCCTCCGGCCACCCCACCAAGTGGCTTTCAAGTGTAAACTGAGGGTGCAAACTGGACCCTGGCTGTGGTTCTCTAGTGACATCTCTCTTCCTTTCACTCATGTCCCAGGGCTTCCTCTAGAAAGATCCCTACCCACAATTGTGATATTTGCCTGTAACAGCATTCAGGAGGATTGTGAGTTCAAAGCCAACCTGGACTAAATAGCGAGTCCCAGACTAGCCTGGACAACATGATGAGAACTTGTGTCAAAAACAAAGAATTACCACAGACTTACCTCCACCTTGTTTGCTGTCAAGGAATTCAAAGTCATGTTACTTAAGTCATCCATGTAGGTCCTCACTCTTCACGTATTTATTTTTTTAAATATTCCTTTTTATTTATGTGCACTGGTGATTTGCTTGCATGTAAGTCTATCTGAGGTTGATGGATACCCCGGAACTGGAAATACAGTTGTAGGAATTGAACCGGGGTCCTCTGAAGAGCAGCCAGTGCTCTTAACCTCTGAGCCATCTCTCCACATTTCTATTACATTTCATATACCTTAACTTTCTAATTTGTATTTGTCTCAATTTGATTTTGTATTTATTTCTGTTTTACAATGTTTCTCTATGTTTGCCCTAATTTGTTATACACAACACCAGGCAGAATGAAGCCAGACATACACCCTGTAATCAAATGACTTTAAAATACTGCAACAGGATAGTGATGGCACAAGCCTTTAGTACCAGCACTTAGGAGGCAGAGGCAGGCACACATCTGTGAGTTCGAGGCCAGTCTGGTCTACAAAGTGAGTACCAAGACGCCAGGACCGTTACACCGAGAAACCTGTATCAAGACCCAAAACAAACAAACAAACAAACATACTGCAGCAGCCCAACACTGCAGTTCCGAGTTCTTAGTTAAGGTGTTAAACAGGGTAATAAACTCCACCTCTCAGACTTAAAACAAAGTTTAAAACTGCAGAATCTTCCTGGGATGAAAAGAGAAACATCGTAACTTCAGAAGTTTCATAATAAAAGCCAGTTTTATTAAACGCTCAACCCTTAAAATTATTTTTAAAAATCCCATCCCGATCCTGTGCTCCCTCTAAATAAATACTGCCTATGCAGCATCATGCACAACAAACTCTGCCGTATACATAAAATCCAGCAGACAGGGCCCTCCCAGGGGACATGCTGTGCCAGTCATGTGATGGTTACTCTTGGGTGTCAACTTGACTGTATCTGGCAACCAGTGAAACCTAACCAGCTGGGCAAACCTATCAGACCTAACCCCAAACCTGGGCCACACATTCCAGTGGCAGCCTATAAAAAGACATGGAAAAGGGAAGCTTTTGCTTTTTGCCTGCTTGTCCTCTCTCTCATTGCCGGGTTCATCTGTCCTGCTGCTGAGACATTCCTTCGCTAGTATTAGAACCTACTTCTTCAGGATTCCAACATAGCTGCAGCTCTCTAGGGATTCCTCAGGACTCCAGCACCAGATCAGCTCTGCTGAGACATCTACCCAGTCTTGGCCTTTCCCTCCGGAGACATTCGTCATTGCAGTATTCAAAAAGAGGCTGTAAGCCATTCTGATAAATCCCACATGAGTGAGTGAGTGCGTGCATGCGTGCGTTCTATCAGTTCTGGTCCCCTAAAGACCCATAAAATGGGTCCCCAATAGGTAACTGGCAATGGGGTAAGGATGGAAAACAGCTAATACAAGCCCTTGTTTACCACAGTAAGGTCAGTTCAGTCTCAGCACCACAGACAGGACTAGGGATGCACAGTCTGACCAAAGTTTTTTGTAATTTCTAACAATTTATAAACACTGAGTGCCCACAAAGTCCAAGAGAAGTGATCAAATGATACAAGCGAAGGCCTTTGCCTCTCCCTCTCAGGAGTCATTTGGAAGCCCAAACAGCTTCACAGTTCCGGCTTCCCGACTGCTGTCGTATTTGCCATCTTTGTCATCACAGGCAAATGCCAGTAGAGGCCTCTTGGGGTGCCAAGCCACGGTGAAAGTCGGGGACTCACACTGCACCTCCCACAGCTTGTCGCCTATAGAAACCAACATAAAGAATGCTATTAAGTAGCACACTCATTAGGTACTCACAGAGGACACAAAGGCAGAGATGCCACACACAAGGCGGTGACGGGCTCTATACTCCCTAGAAAAACAATCTACAGGGAGCAACTTACAGACAGCCTGTCCTGTACTGAATGCCAATGACAGCCCTCTCCCTGCGAGGCAGCTTTTTAAACTATGAATGAGGGGGGAGCAGTGTCTTAACAAAGGGACACATAAACGACACACACAGGAAATGAGGCCGTCTGTCTGTCTCCAAACAAACAGACTCTGTACACCACAAAGCCTTGCAAATAATTTCTTCCAAAAGTTTACTTTTCTAATTTGTTGATATGATACATGATTTCTTTCAGTTCTGCTCCAATTCCCCACACACACCCCACAGCTTGAGTTAAGATTTATAATATCAGGAGATTGGGTGATGCTCTTAGCAGCTAAGAGGCACTCACTGACTGTTCTTCTAAAGGACCCGGGTTCAATTCCCAGCACCTCCATGGCAGCTCACAGCCGTCTGTTTAACACCAGTCTAAAGGGATCCAACACCCAGGGATCCACTATGACCAAAAGGCACACACAGGACATAGATATGAATGCAGGAAAAAATAGCCACACATGGCAAATAAGTGCTTTTTAAAGAAATGTTTACAAAAGACAGTGTTAGCAGGTCAAAACATGGCCAACAAATTACACTGTATACTATAAAGATGTAAGCATGTATATCTAAAGTAACTCTACGTCAGCGACAGCTATCTACAACTTATCTGAATAATTTCTAACCTATGTGGACATACCCAGTGGTTTGGGCACTCACTACTCCACGACGACTTTTCTTTAGGTGTTTAATTCTGTATCATTTGTTATGGGTTTGGTTAAGATAAAAAATTCACACAACCCAAGAAGACCAAAGCAATCATGAAAAAGCCTGAGGGCTGGAGAGATGGCTCAGGGGTTAAGAGCACTAGCTGTTCTTCCAGAGGACCTGGGTTCAATTCCCAGCACTCACATGGCAGCTCACACCTGTCTGTGACTTTGGTTCCAGGGGATCTGATGGATCTGACACCCCCACACAGACACACATGCAGACCAAACACCAATGCACATAAAAGAAAGAAAGAAAGGAAGAAAGAAAGAAAGAAAGAAAGAAAGAAAGAAAGAAAGAAAGAAAAGTGAAAAATAAAAGCCTGAAATGTTTCCCAAGTAACCATGCAGCCTTACAAATGAGTACTGTGCTGGCTAGTTTATGTCAACTTGACACAAGCTAGAGTCACTGGAGAGGAGGGGCTTCTACTGAGAAAATGCCTGCAGAAGATCTGACTGTAGGCAGACCTATGGGGCATATTCTTAATTAGTGATTGATGGGGAAGGGCCCCACACACTTTGGGTGGGGCCATCCCTGCGTTGAAGGTCCCAGTTTCTGTAAGAAAGCAGGCTGGGCAAGTCATAGGGAACAAGCCAGTAAGCAGCATCCTCCATGGCCACTGCATCAGCTCCTGCTTCCAGATTCCTGCCCCTTTGAGTCCCTGTCCTGACTTCCTTTGGTGATCAACAGTGATATAGAAGTATGTCATAAGCCCCAAACCTATTTAGTTACATTGTTTAATCATAGCAATAGTAACTCTAACTAGGATAAATACCCCAATAATTTACTGCAAAGATTAATCACTAAACAACATATAGCGCTGACTGTGTGAGACTGATATTACAATTCCAGGCTACTAGCTCAGACTAATGCAAAATGTGTGGTATGTCCAAAAACTGAAATAACTCTATTAAAATGAAGTTCTATTCTATACCTTATCAGGAACAAAATCAAAATTCATTCTTACCTTGTTCTAAACTTAACTATCAAAAATATTTCAGGAAATATGTCTAATGTTATTTACTCCAATAAAAGAAATGCAAAGACATAAAAAAAAAGACTAAAAAGAAATGTACAAAAAAATTAGCAATAGTTAGACCTAAAAAAGTGAAGCTGGCGAAGTAGCTTATCAGATAATGGCATTTACCAAGCAAGCCTGGTGACCTGAGCTCAACCCTGGGACACTTATTACCCTTAACTGGTTTGTACACCTGCTCTACACACCTAACACACCTATACCCAAGGTCACATGAAAATTCTCAGGCACCTTTGTACCTGACCCCTTTGGGCCACGACTGGAAAGTTTTAGCAGCCTGCCCTAAAGGCCCTGATTGCAAATGGCTGGCAATGCTCACCCAAGATTAATAACCAGCTCTTTAACACCCAGGTCCATGGTCCTCTCTGCTGTAGTCTACATGCTGTAGATGGTCCCATTAGGACTGTGCTGGCCAGCGTGAACTGTCTGTCTAGATGAGGCATGCCTGTGAGAGGCTCTAACTGGGTCCCATGAGGCAGGAAGACCCACCAGCATGCGAGTTTCAGGGGCTGGCTCTGGACCGAGTGAAAGGGGAAGGGAAGCTGAGCCCAGGCATTCATGCATGCATAGCTCTCTGCTCTCGGCCGTGATAAGCTGTAACCTGACTGTGAGCCAGACCTTCCTTTCTCCCGCAAGCCGCTTTCCTAAAGGCATTTTATCACAGCTACAGGAAAGGAGCCAAAACAGAGATGATCACAACGTGGTGACAATCATGCAAAATTCAGCAGAAAAATGGATTCTCCATGTTTCCTCTCATTTGGGGGCCCTAGATTTTAGAGACACATAAAATCATGTATTTACAAATCACTTCAAAGTAGAAGCAAAACTGAGGAACCCAGAAGACTGATGGGAGGGGCCAGAAAGGGGGCAGTAAGATGTGGGAGGGAGCAAGCACAAATGCCCAGCTCTATCTCATATTTAAAAACCTGCCATTGAGACATGATGGTGTATCACTTTAATCTCAGCACTCAGGAAGCAGAGACAGACAGATGTCTGTAAGTTCAAGGCCAGCCTCAAATACATTAGAATCCCAGGCCAGTGAGAGCTCCAAAGTGAGGCCCTATCTCAGGAAAACACACACTTTTTACAATGAAGAAGTAATGCACTGCAAAGTGCTTTCCTCCGCCACTCCCCTTCAAACCTGGCAACTCTTCCTGCCCTCCCATCCCCTCACTGCATGAAACTGACAGTCACATCAACACGCCTGTCTCAACAAGACAAACCCATTTCTGATCATGCTGGTGAAGTAGCAGCATGCAGAGCTAAAACGTGTCAAGAGGAGGCCTGAGGCCAGACATCAGACACAGCGGGTTCAAAGTGAGTCACCTGTCTCGACTTCGGCTATGTCAATGAAATGATCCTCTGAGGCCGACGCCAGCATTTTCCCATCGTGGCTGAAACTGAGGGTCCTCACAGGCCAGTCCAGTCTATGACAGGATGGACAGAAGCATCAGAAATACCCCAACAGAGGAAGGAACAGTTAATTTATCTAACAGGAAAGGCTGATAGTCACTTACCTGGAGAAGCAGCGCACACACACTAACTCATCGACATCCCAGAGGCTAACCAAAGCATCTGCACTTCCTGTGGCGAAATACTTCCCCATGGGGTCAAACTTGATACAGATGCAGTTAGAAGGATGGGCATTGATGGACTGCACAGGCTTTAGCTCGGGGTAGCTAAGAAACAAGACACCTGGCCATTAGTGTTCAGAAGAGGACTGTGGCACTAAAACACCGAAAGAAAAAAACAAGCACAGCACAGGCCTAAGTATATGAACTACACCACTTAACAACAAGATAAACTAGTGACATCACAGAAAATTACATCCTCTCTGGATTCTCTGAGAGCACCGCCTTGTAGCAAAAGAAAAAAGTAAGAGTGGCACACCTAAGACACAAGCAAGAAAATGAATCCAGGACTGTTATACCTAGCAAAACTATCCAATACAGGAAACACAAGAAAGCACAATAAAGTATCTACAAGTTTTTAAACATATAACTACTTCAACGTCCACAGCCAATATGATGAATTTTGCTTTGTTCTATTTTGTTTAACTTGGGATTCACAGCAAACTCCAACCTCTCCACACAGAATGTATGCCCTCCTCTGCTTTGCATTACTCACTGGCACAGAAATAAGCACAGGCTCTTATGAATTTTAGTTCATTTTCATTTACTTAGAGAACAAATGTTTACTGAGATTCCACTGCTAAGGCAGGCATTAAGTTAACAATTCAGTGGAAAACAAGGTAAGCATAGTCCTTTCCACCATGACATTATAGTATAATGAGAGGTAGAGATAAATAAGTACACGTTATAATACAGAATTAAGAAATGCTTCCTGATAAGGCAGTGGTGGTGCACACCTTTAGTCCCAGCATTCGGGAGGCAGAGGCAGAAGCAGGCATCTCTATGAGTTCGAGGCCAGCCTGGTCTACAGAATGAGTTCCAGGACAGGCTCCAAAACTACCACAAAAAACCCTATATCAAAAAAAAAAAAAAAAAAAAAAAAAAAAAAAGAGCTTATAGGAAATGCATTAAGATACACTAAAACCCTCCTCCAATCCTGGAAAGAAAGCAGGATAGAAGAATGAAAGTTTACAAAGTGAGTTCCAGGACAGTCAAAGAAACCCTAAAAAAACAAAAACAAAAAGGTGGATAGAAGTGACTGTGCTAGAAGGAAAATAATATTTAAGCAAAATTTTAAGGGAGTGAATTAGCAACTCAAGGTCCCTGGCCCAAGTTATCTGATAATTAAGTGAACAGTGAACATTTACAGTCAATATCAGTAAGAACTCAATAAAATCTATAATATCTGGCTCAAATGTGCCTATAAGAAACTAGGATTTTTTAAATACTCGTTCTTTCAAATCTTTTAGTTAGGCACGCACCTAACTCATCTATATACCTGGCAGAGGTATGACAGTCCCCCAAGCCAGAACCCCTCACCTGAGAATGTTGATACAACCATTGCCATTGGTCAGGAAGAACATGTTATTATCATTATTCCAGGAGATTTCATTGACCTCAAACTTGAACTGTTCTTCTGCTTTGGAACGGTGTGTCTTAGCATCAATAAAGGTCACAACATCATCCTTGTTGCCCACAGCAATGGTCTGCCCATCGGGACTCCAGCAGATATTAATGTTCTCCCCTGGGAACCCAGATACAAGCCATCAGCAACATCATCCTTGCCCATCCTCCTCCAGAAGCTCATTGTGCTATCCTAGAAAGAAGATCAGAGCTCTCTTCAGCGCTCAAATCACCAAGTCAATGGAAGGATGCTGTTGCCGCCACCGGCCAAGCAGTAATCTCGAGTCTAAACCTTTGTCGAAAAGCACCACGCCATCCACTTCCGGGTACCAGTCTTGTCACCAAAGTCCAGGAGTCCACGTTACACACATTAAATTAAAATCTTCAACTCCATTGAATCAAAAACACCGCCTTTTCACTTTACTATCTATACTGCATTTTATACTACAATATCTATACTGCATTTTAAAATCTATCAGAATTTGTTGCAGGAGCTGGGTGGTGATGGCACACACCTTTAACTCCAGCAGCCAGGAGGCAGAGGCAAAGAGAGAGAGTCGGATCTCTGAGAGGTCAGCCTAGTTTATAGAGAGAGTTCTAGAACATCCAGGGCTACACTGAGAAACCCTGTCTCAAAAAAACCAAAACAAAAAAGCTTTGTTTAAAAAAATAAAATAAAAAGAATTTTGTTGTGGTGGGGCTGGAGAGATAGCTCAGCAGTTAAGAACACTGACTGCTCTTCCAGAGGACAGGGGTTCAATTCCCAACACCCATGTGGCAACTCACAACTGTCTCTAACTCCAAGATCTGGCACCCTCACACAGACATACATGCCGGCAAAATACCAATGCAAATGAAATTAAAATAAAAGCAAATAAATTATATAAAAAGGAAAATTTAAAAATCTAAAACCAAAAATGCTTCTTAAAAAAAGTTGTAAATGACCTCTTAGAGTCAATAATGCTAGACTCAAGATTTACAGGGTACTATATAACACAAACACAGCATTTGAACTTAATACACAACTTCCCAATCATTTCTCTGAAACCAAAGTCAATCCAAGTTTCAGCCATTCTAGCCTGTCAGAATCTCCCAAATTCTCCATGCCTTCACACACACTATTCCTCTTTGTATTGTTTCCAATGCTCACCCACTCACTCTGGACAGAAACTACTATAGATGATTAAAAAAAAAAGTGTTCAAATTCTCTCTTCCTTGTCTCCTCCAGACGGACATACGTATGCTGGAAATTACATTAGCTTTTCCACCTAAGGTTCCCCTCTCAAGTTACCTTTAGTGTTCACAGTGGCAATGCACTTTGTAGTCCTCACATCCCAGATGCGAATGGTTTTATCGCCAGACGCGGTGACAAAGAGGTCAGGGTTGCTTGGATGCCAGCAAAGCTGATCCACACTATCTCCGTGCCCCCGGTAGTTGTTTTCTTTGACCTTAAAAAGAACAGAATCCAGATGACACTTCACACAGATGCACCTGCCTCCACCGGCAACTTCGTACCCTGGAACCAGCAAAGATCTGGACAATTCAAAACAATCCAGTCCTTTCCAAAACGTCAGCCCCTGTGAATTGCTCTGAGCTTCGACCCTGGCTCTTACGCTTGCCCTTCCTGCCTTCCTTTCCTTCTTTTCTCTTTTACCACCACCGTCATCCCAGTCCACCTCTCCACTCCCAAAGGATGTGCCATCATTTTCAAATAAAACCTCCTCGACACCATGGGCACGCTACCACTCACCCCATCAGTTCCTACTCACTCCCCGCCGGGGAGTCCTTCCCAGGGCTTCCAGACTCTCGCCGCTCCAGGCCACCTGATTCACCGCCCCTGTCCCGCAGCCCCTTCGCCACACCTCTTTCCTGCCACCAGGTTCACATCCGCCGTCCTCCAGGCAGCCCCACCGCACCCTTCCTCATCACCACCAACGGGTCACGCTCCGATCCATTCGTCCCCACCCCCACCCCGGCCCCCTCTTCCTCCACACACATCCCTCTTCCCGGCCAGGGCTAAGCCCTGCAAGCTCACCAGCCGGTCCTTCTCCAGCAGGAACACGCTGGCAGTCTTGTCGAAGGACCCCGAGGCCAAGCGACGGCCGTCGCAGCTCCAGGCCACCGAGTGCACCTTGGCACTGTGCGCCGGGAACTCGCGCGTCTTGCTGTGGCCTCGGAACAGCTCCTGCATCCCGAGCACGTAGCGAGACGGGCCACTGCTCATAGAGCACCAGGGCGCCATCGAGCCGGGGCCGCTCTGGCTGACCGGCGGGGGCCCCAGGATCGACGTGGGCACCGCCATGCCTGTCTCTCTTTCTCTCTCTCTCTCTCTCTCTCAGCAGAGACCGCGTACCGGCTGCTAGCGACAACTGGGCCTGGCGCCGCTGCGGCGCGCATGCGCCGGGAACGGCGCCGCGTCACTCTGCGCAGGCGCGCGCGTCTCACCTGCCCCAAGGGACTGCAAATCCCGACATGCAACGCGTATCCACCTCTAACTTTTCGAGTAGCGTTTTGCAAGAGTTCGACTTTTTTAATGGTCTTCTTACCAGTTTCTTGATAGCCTCGCTTATTCGAAGACCAAGATGAAGCCTCTCGTTTACTTAACCAGTAAAATATCTTTTATTATCTTTTTCCCCCTGGAGATAGGGTTTCTCTGTGCAGCACTGGCTGCCCTGCAACTCACGTTGTAGACCAGGCTGGCCTTGAACTTGGATACTCCTGCTCTTGTTTCCCCAGTGGCGGGATTAAAGGCGTGTACACCATTGCCAGGCTAAAAATACCCTTTTTCTAGAGTTGTTTTTTCACTACAAGGCCCTTACCCCCCACCCACCCACCACCTGCTCCCCTTAAAGCAGAATCACTCCAGAAGTAAGGTCAGCTGTTTGTGGAAATAAGGAGTTGGTTGATAACAGGTGTGGATTTGGGTTGAGCAAGGTTGCTTGGTTGATTTGGGGTTTGGTTTGGGTTTTTTGTTTTGTCTTTTGACCTTGGTTTTTAGAATATACTGCATAAGCATGACAGTAAATTTTTAAAAAGTGCAAAGTAAAATGACCATTTGTGTATGCCACTCACATCTCAGATCCTCCCACTTCTTACATCTCTCTTAGAACAAGAGTATCCAGCTGGATAAGAATCAATGGTGAGCTTCCAGGATGAGCTCAGGCACTGTAGAAGAGCTGTGAGCTTGGGATAGGGATCACAGAAGGAATGCTCACCATATAATATATACTTGTGTGAAATGTCCATATGAAGCCAACTGTGGTATCACAGGCTTGTAACTCATAGACACAGACTTCTAATTGTTTGGGGATTGCTTTTTGCCTTTCTTTTTTCCTTGAGAAAGAGACTTGCAATGTAGCTCAGGCTGGTTTGAGACTAACGAGATAGTCCAAACTGGCCTTGAACTCCCAGTGCTGGATTCTGAGCATGTATTACTACACCCAGACAGAAGGGCATTTCCTGCTGGGATATACAGATGTCTCTTCTTCAAGGGTGGGTGCACTTTCAAATTGTAGAGATGTATAACCATTCATTCTTTTGTTTCCCTAATATTTCCTAATGTTATTCTCTTAACAATGTTGCAGTAAAAATTTCTATATATAATCCCTACTCCAAATGACTTGGCAGATTTTGTTGATCCCTCCTGGAAGGCATCACCCTCCCTGTGGAGTGGAGGGGGGAATGGGATGGGAGAGTGGTGAGGGGCATGGGAGGGAGGGAGGAGAGGGGGGAAGGGAGGAGAGGGAGAGGGAACTGGGATCCATATGTAAAATTAAAAAAAAAAATTTGAAAAATTTCTATACAAACTTCATTATGAGTGTCACACTTTATTCAGGTAATTCTGCCAAAACAGTTAATGAGGAGTTTCTAAGAATCTGCATCTAGCCATGTGAGGAATATAAGTCCTAAGTAATAAATGAAGCCACATGTGCATGTAGCTCCTGCTTCTACAGTCTCTTTCTGATCTCACTGCAATCAGGCATTTTTGGAAACTACGAAGATTTTATATTAAAAGTGTCAATGAAATCACTGGAATCTTTTGGGTAGAAAGCTATTTGCTATCTAATTTTCCCTCCTCACATTTCTTTTTCAAATATTTTATGTGGTTACATATTTTTACATGCACTGAGAACTTATACCTCCTTGTGTTAGAGGCAAAGTGGTCTATCCCAAGTCACAGGACTAACACGACAGAGCAAAGTATTCAGTTTTTCTAGACAGGGTTTCTCTGTGTAGGCCCAGTTGTCCTAGAACTCACTCTGTAAGCCAGGCTGACCTCAGACTCACACTCACAGAGATCCTTGTGCCTCTGCCTCCCAAGTGCTGGGATTAAAGTCGTGCACCACCACCTGCCTAGCAGGGCTTTCTGCCTAAACAACAGCGGGTAATGTGGGACAAGTTAGCAAGAATATAATATAGCTGTATTGTTCACAAGTGTAAAAACATTCTTCAGGTAAAGGAATATGGCCATCAGATAGAGGATAGCCTTAGTATGGGAACAATTTAATTGTCCCTTGGGGAAGACCTGGGGGGACAGAATCTCAAATGACACCGACTGGAGGCAGGAGCTGATGTAGAAGCCATGGAGGGTGCTGCTTACTGGCTTGCAGCTCCCCATGGCTTGTTCAGCCTGCTTTCTTATAAAACCAAGACCACGAGCCCAGGGATGGAAACACCCACATAGACCAGGCCCTCCTCAATCAATCACTAATTAAGAAAATAAAATGCCCCTCAGGGCTTGCCTACACCTGTTTTTTTTTTTTTTTTTTTTTTTTTTTTTTTTTTTTTTTTTTTTTTTTTTTTTTTTTTTTTTTTTTTTTTGTCAAGAGGTTTTCTCTATGTATCCCTGGCTATACTGAAACTAGACCAGGCTGGCCTTGAACTCAGAGATCCACCTGCCTCTGCCTCCCAAGTGCTGGGATCAAAGGCATGTGCCACCAAACCACTGTAGCCTGATCTTAGGGAGGCATTTTCTTAATTGAGGTTCCTTCCTCTCAGATGACTTTAGCTTGTTTCAAGTTGACACAAAGCTATCCAGTGTAGTATTGGATACAGAGAAGACACAGTGGAAAGGGAAGGCAGCTTTGATACTACTCAGGAATTTTTGTGTTTTATCTGGACATTGTGGACCTGGATCCACCTCTGGAAACATGCCAGGTGAGTTTAACCTTTAAAGGTTCCTCTGAACAAGTGATGGTCCACAGGGCAAGTGTGTCTGTTGCCCACTTGAGCTGGGTGTGATGAATCCAGGGAGGGGTCCCAGCCACCTCAACAGCTGTGGGTGTGGGGTGGACCATGAGATATGGTCCATCGAGACACAAGTGTCTTCGGACGATGACTCATAACCCAGAAGGAGAAAACATCATTGGCCTGGTAAGGATGGGGAGTGAGTTCAGAGTCCTTTGGCTTGAGACATGCTGAAGAACCCAGTTTCAGGGACTAGAAAAGGAAATGGTGCTGAGCTTTGAGGTCTGCAGGCACAGTGTAATTGCCATGTTATACCTAAGACCTTAGTCAGTAATTGAGAGATTCCAGCTAGGAAAGCCAGGCCATTGTCTGACCCCATTGACAATGGGCACCAATTGGGGGGGGGCGCTAATTCCTCTAACAGCTTCTTTACAGTAACCCGTGCCATTTCCAATCTGATGGGGAAAGCCTCTACCCAACACTAGACTGAATCTACAAATACAAGGACGTACTTACTCATGTTGACCTGGTTTATCTCAGTGAAGTCCACCTCCCAATGTTCTCCAGGCATCTCACCTTGGGTCCTCACCCTGTGGGTACTGCAGATGGTGGCTCAGGGGTCGTCTGGGCACAACTTGTACACCATCTGATGACGGTGTATAGGCCTGAGATTATTAGTGCTGGGCTTATGGACTGGAGGAGGGAGTGTTCCAAGGTGACCGGCTGGCAAGCACTAAAATGTCAGCCTCCCTGAGTCTCTGGGTGTGAATTGCAGTCCAGTTTTGCTTCCCTCCCAATAGGATATTGTTTCTCTCTGACCGAGGTTGGGTAGTAGTCAGCTGAACTGCTGTTGGGGCTTGATGTTTTGCTGGCCCTGGTAGATCTGTTTCTGCCCACACCCCTGGAATCTTGGCCTGTAATTCAGCCAGATGTGAGATGGATCCCAGCTGGGCTAGGGATAGCTCAGACAGTAACAGGTATTCTTCTACATTTGGACAAGTAACTAGGATTTCAGTGGGGAGTTTGTAGTCTAATTCTGTCTTGTCTTCCTTAAGGGTGATAGTAGCCTGTCGTTTGTGTGACAGGTCTTGGTCCAGTAGGGGGTAGAGGCATCCCAGATAACCAGAAACATATGGGTGACGTTGCTTCTTCCTAAGTCCACAACCTGATCAGCTGTCCAGGATTATCCCATTATACCTTGGACTTGAATTTCTTTTTGCCAGGGGTCCATCAGGTAATTTAGGACTAACAAAATCATCCCAGTGTCCACCAGGAAGCTGAGTGGATTGCCCCCCAACCCCTCCACACCCCTCTGCCCACTCTCAGGTAGCCCTGGGTCATGGGGGCGTAATGCTTAATGGAATCAAGCCCTGGCTGTCAGGTGGTTTCAGTTTGTAATTGGAGCACCTTTGCCTTGGGTATTCCAACCTGCTGGTTTGGACATTTTCCCAATGCCCTTCTCTTTTACAGTATGCACATTGATTTTTAAATAGAGGGGGTCTGAGTGGTCTTGGTATATTCCCTGGTCACCTCTGTAGGCTTCACTATCTCTGGAAGATCATCCATCCCTGTTTCTCAGTGCTAACACGGCTGCCTTTTCTAAGCCTTCTTCCTGTCTATCTTCTGGCAAGTCTTGGTTATTAAAGACTTTCTGAGCTAATCTAGCCAATTCCGACAACACCTCTCCTTCAAATCACTCTAGCCTCTGGAGACTCCTACTACTACTCAGGGCCAATGGGGTGGCAGAGGCTATGTTAATCACCCGCTGTTCTCTGGAGCTTTCAGATCAGTGGGTATATAAGTCAGAGAGGCATCCAGCAGCCTTTACAGACTTGGCAGGGATTTCAGCCTTGCAAAACTTCACTAACTTTAGAAAATCTGTGGCCTTCGGTTCACCTTTGAGGAGACCACTCAGTAGAGTCTGGTGGTAGGTATCTAGAGCTCCCTTACTTTGTTCAGTGACAGATCTGGGAGGAGAGATGGTTCCCAGAGCCAGGGGTTCCTCAGAGGCTGCTAAGAGCAGATATCCCAGGTAGGCTGGTATCTGTAAAACGCTGTCTCTGGAATAGACATTCAGCTTTGGGGTTTGTCAGAGAGGGAGGGGTTTGATTCCCCAGTTATGAAGATTGGTGGTGGAAA